CTCAGATAAAAATCCCCAGGGGTGCTGGCACACTGTCAGAGTGCAGAGCAGCCAATATGCCCAAGATGTGACATCGGCTTTGCTGGATGTGCTGGAGCTCCGTTCACTCCAGGGCTCCCACTAAGGCCAAGGACATTCCGTTAGGGAATCGGCCCGAGGATTACCAATAGCGGCCGGAATCTCCAGAAACTACCCGTGATTCGTCGAAGTGTCACTCTTTGTGGACACTCACCAAACTCAAAGGTAAGGTGCCTTTGCCTCGGTTAAGGGTGTGAGGTTCCTCTCCAACTATGTTTCAGGCGGAAAATTTCTCTTAATTGATTAACGTTAAGGGTGATTACCCTATTTGCCAAAGGCCTGGTTTTACACCTCTCGTTGGCGTGCAAACCAGGGCGAACCGTACATGTAACCCTGGTCTGTCATTGTCGTCGAATGTTCAGCGCACAGAACACCCTCTTCCTTCACCCCATCTTCTTCCCTCGTCCCAACCCCACTTCCTATTTCCCCACTCTCTTGCCAACTTTGTAGAACCCCCTCCACATGTGTGACATGCAATTTCAGCAACTAGAACACTGAGCCTTCAGAGCTTCAAACACCGTGCTTACCGCCGCAAGCTACAATGGCTACAGCCGTAGAGCGTTACGGAGCGGATGGGACCGGTATCATCTCTGTCACTGCCGTCGCCAACAAGCATCGCGCCGGATCTGCGCCGCGGCCGGCAGTGCCAGCAGCCGTGAACGGAGACGGTCACACGTGGCTCAAGTACGGCGAGAAGAACATCGCGAACCACGTCATCAGGTGCTGAGCATACTATGTATCATGGCTCAAATTGATTTCTCATTTCCCCTTTTCTTGTGTGTTTTCATTAAGAAACTCCAACTTCGGTATTATCTTTTCTCACATCTCCACATTCATGCATTCGCTCTGGTTTCATATGTTTATTTTTTTATCCCTTCAAGAGAAAAACCAGGACCAGAAATACGGAGTAGGTGTACAGTAGGCACGGCATAGGTACGTCTGCTACGGAGTAGCCTTTCAATAGTACGAACAACTATACCTAGGTGCGATCCACATTTTCGTGACGTTTCTAGAAAAAAAAAGGGGTAAATATTCAACCTGAGGCTGTCTCCATTCCCACGTGTTTACCACTCTCACTCTCACGTGTTTACACAGTTCCTACTACTACTACAGGTGCGCGTGGTCCAAGAGCTCAGCCTACCCCGCCAGAAAAAAAAATCAACTTGAGGTTGCCTTAATCCCCAATAAGAAGTACCTATCTCACTCTCACGTGTTTTCTCTTATTCCCCCACACAGGTCCTACTACAGGTGCGCTTGGTCCAAGAGCTCAGACGCCTGCCCCGCAAGAAAAACCGTCGACTTTGATCCAACGCACCCTACTAGTACCGCCAACAGCGACTCAGTCGGCCGCGAGCCCATCGCGGTGACCACGTTGTACCGCCACGCCCACAACCACCAGACTCGCGGGCCGCCCCCCCGCGGCCACAAGCGACAGGCGCGACCCGAGAAGGCGGGGGTGGCGGTGAGCAGCAGCAAGAGAGTTGAGGCCACCCTGGAGCCAGCTCCGAGCTCGAGAGCCTGGAGGCTTGCAAAACTCTTGCGAAGGCGCTTGGCACAACCGAGGGGGGAGATGCTCCGTCGCTCGCCCCACCGTACGCCCCTCGGTGTGTGTGCGTTTGGGATACCCACAATCTGCTCCCCGGCAAATGCAGAGAAAATGAGCAGCGACCGCCCGCACAAATTCCGTGTCACGTGGCACACCGCGCCGGTGTGACAGCGGCAAACGGCGAGCAGGCGACCGACCTCCAGGAGTGGCAAAGTACGACGATGAGATGCGCGGATGCGACCGAGCTGTGCTCCGCTCTGCTGTGGACTCCCAAGAGTGGGAGATGTGGCGCTGCGCAGGATGCCATGGCGAGTGCTGTGTGGGACGATTCTATGGCTGCTGCTGTGCCGCACTGCGTGATTGCGGAGGGTTGTTCCGATGCGCAGGACGCGCAGGGTGCCATGATGGCCGGTGCTGTGCGGCTGGTGGAGTGCAGCAGCGCTGTTGACGACAGCGCCGTGGCGACAAGTGGCGTGGCATGGCTCCCCGATCCCCTTGCAGCGCTTCCCGTCCCCCCTGCAGGGCTGGATGACGTCACCTTCCTGTCATGGGAAGAAATGGACTTGTGCCCGTGGGGTCGGCCGCATCATGAGGACCGCCAGGGACGTCAGGATAGTGAGGAGGACCCTCATGCGGCCTTGGATGTGCCGCCCATGGGGTCGTGTCTCAACAGCAGCGGCGTTGAGTCGTCGGTGAGAGGAGCTTATGAGATCATGGGGGGGGGCGTTGCTGAGCCGCCTCCTGGTGCACCGATGGGAGGCGTGATGCTGGTGGGTGGAGCGAGAGAGTGGGCAGGGGAGGTGGTGGAGGGGGAGAGGTTTCCATGGGAGGGAGTGATGGCATCACCTGGTGGGCTGTGTGGCACGGGCAGGGCGAAGGGGGAGAGCAGGCTGGGGTGGACGAGCTGCAAGCAGGCATGCTGCAGCAGGAGCAGCAGCAGGAGCAGCAGCAAAACCAGCATGTGCATCACCCTGTGTTTGATGTGCTCGGGGGAGGGAACAGCATGAGTGTTTGGGACTTCATACACTAGAGCGAGAGAGCTGCGTCGCTCCTGCTCATGTAGGTTTAATAATAATACACAAATGTACTACGTGTAAGTTTGTGCCATTTATGACAGTTAATATAGCAGTGATCATCTTGGGTTAACTCGGTTTTGCTTAAACATTAATCACATGATTCGCAGTGGGTCTACTGCAAGAATCGTTGAGCACTAAATTTGCGAAGCCAAGCCCTCTCCTAGCGACGAGACTGCCTTCTAGTTTCTCCGATCCCGCTGCATCTGACATATCTATTCGCGATGAGCATTATTGTCATCTCTGGTAAGCTAGTCTCACAGTATAGTTATTTTCGAAAGTACAGTACAGCTTCAGTGAAGACCTGAAGACTTTCAGGCAGCCGCCATCGCGTGTAGGCCCGCTCAAAAGTTTCGGCACGAGAGGAAGAAATCTCTTCTGAACTGCCCGCGAATGATCCCCAGTGCGTTGATCGGCGTCGTGATCGACGCGTAGTACGCGCCCGGGTTCGCATCCATCTTCTCAATCACCTCCGCTACAGTCACGTTCGCGTCGTTGAGCGACGGCGTGCGATGCGCGTTCATGATCCACCCGGTCGAAACGATCTTCGGGCCGCTGTCGCGCCAGTTCTTGAGGCTGGGGATGCCCGGGATGCTGACGAGCGCGGGGCCTAACGAGCCCCTAGGCCCGAAATTAATGGTGCGCGTGATCGGCATGTAGACGCTCTCCATCCGTAAATCGAATTTCACGTTTATCGCGTCCGTCGTCCTGATGTCACGAGCGGTAGGGTGGGGTAGTGTGGCAGGAGGGGGAAAGTGGATGAAGATGTGGGACGAACATGCACATGGGAATTGTTGGTAGGGTTATTGCCGTTTGCGGTCATGCTTATCGTTCCGTATTTCGTCTCTTCTTGCTGGTTCCTAGGGCAACGCGTCCTGCGACACTAACAAGATGATAGTTGTGCGACGTCTGCATTGCGCGATTTCTACGTGCGACGTCAGAGTGTCACACTGGGGCAGTAAGACAAGCCGCGGATTCTGACCTGGAGACGCAGATTCGGAAAAGACTCAGGAACCTCCCACGAAAGTAAGACCAAGGCGTGAATTCTCACCTGAACACGCGTATCTGGAGGAACCCGTCGGCTTGGCGTCGGCCGAACGTCCAGGCGGGCACTTTCTCCTTCTCGAGACTTGTTTGCAGCTCGCCTGGCACATAGATTCAAACAGGCGAAACGGGGCAAGCAAATGCCACGTGGGATCAATGACGGGCTTGGAACAAACGGCTGAGTCACTGGCAGCGGTTAGCGCGGGTCTTTTGGCAGTTACGGACAGCGCGACGACCAGCGGTATTGAGGAGTTCAATGGGTGTTTGGAAATTAAATAAAAGCGTACTGATGAGTTTGCCGGGAGTCTTGTTGGCGCCCGCCGCGCAGCTCACTCTCCATGCCGCCACGTCAGGCGGGATCGATGCGGCCACGAGGACAACCAAAGCGGCAAACGCCGTCCGCACTGCATCGCGGGTGAAATAATTAACGGGAAGTTCAAGAGAGTCAGGGATTGCTTTATAATTACTGCCTGTGCCTCCTAACGGACGAGGAAAGCGTGCATCTAATCTCTTTGTGAACGGAGAGCCGATTGCAAAACATCGGGATTGGCCTTACCCTTGCAAACAGTCATTCTCGTGGGGCTAAGCTAATTGAGTCCTGGGCGTTTGAAGTCGGCAGTGTCTAAAAGCGCGACAGAATGTGCTAATTCCGATGGTGACGGTGTGTAGTTTTGTTGTCACGGGGCTCTGTGACTAATTATACCACAAGAGGAAAGGCCGTAAAACCTAAGTCTCCTGCCTCGATGCTCGTTTCACGCGTCTTTTCTTTGCATCGTGTGAGCTTCCCACATGCATATGTGCATGGGTTTCCCTTGCTGTGGGTGCCTCGAATTTCTGCTGTCAGCAGAAAGTCTCTCGGAAATCTCAAATGTCTGTTGCGCGAATTCAATGTGTCGGTTGGTCAGCATGTGCGCTTCGGGAAGTGCTTTCCGCCTCAGAATCCTTGCGTCGCCAATGTGTGTGGATTTCCTCGCCACGTAGGCACGTCGTTATACTGCTAACGAAAAAGGTTGACGAAATCTCGCGCGGGGGCTTCTCTCGTCGCATGAACGTGGGCTTCTTGCTGCGAAGCCACTTCTGTTCCCCATGGTGAGAAAATCGTGACGATGGCCGTCAGAGGCAGTCTGACGCATCTGACAAACCGCCGGCAGCAATTGTTCTGGAAACGGACATACAGAATGAAATTAGTGGATAAAGCTAAACCCTTAGCACTACGGCATCATCCTTTATCGAGTACCAGAGAGACTTGAACCAGACCTGCAGAGATGTCCTCCACGCCTTAACAGATTTTACAGCCCTCGTGGATTTTTGCGCCCTAAATGTCACGTTTCACAGGCAACCACCTTGCATGCATGGCTCCGTTCTCCACGCACCAAGTCCAGCCACCTGCTATGATAACATCCATAAGGCTGAGAAAATAGCAGGTTCCTTCGTTTCTGTCGAATATGGAAGGCTAACTTTACAGCGGAGGTGGTGACGAGCGATAGCCACAGCCACGATGCAGGGGCATGTCCGCCCGCGAGGTTGCGAGCGCATCGGGGAACTGATCTCTATTTTCATCTGAAGCATCTGCTCAGTTCTTATGTCCTTCACGAGCATGGAGGTCGCAATTTTCGGCGCGTCAGCGTGTGCCGCGGTGTGTGCTCAGTACGCGTTTATCCGATGCGGGTTACACGGCTCCTTCACTAGCGCGTCCTGGCCCGAAGCGACGCTACCTGACGTTCAGGAGCTCACCCGCGTTTCGAATCTCGTTCTCTCCGTGTACGAGCGAGATGTAACGGAGCCTCGTTTCAGCGATCCCGTACCGCCAGCGTGCGTAGTGAAATCCGTTTCGTACGATGACACGAGGGGGCAGTGCCCCCCGTACACCATATTCCTCGATCTTGACGCGAGAGATATCTGCGTCGCCATTCGCGGTCTTCACCTCACCCACGAGGCGGATTACGCGGTCTTGCTCAACAACCGTACTGGGCAGCAGGTAAGTCCCTGATAAGGACCACAGTAGAATCCTTCTGCCAGAACGAGCGCAGCACAGGCTTTTTCTGAACCTTGCGAACGCAGAGTCTATGTTTCTCTTTCGGCTCCCTAGGCGCCTTGCTAAACTCCGTAATTTTGGTTAACACTAGGATTTTTACAGAGGCTTGAAGATGGTTTCGCCCACAAGGGCCTTCTCCAGGCAGCCTGGTGGTTGCTTGAAAGAGAGGCGGACACCTTGAAGGAGCTGCTACAATCGAATCCGGGGTTCAGCCTGACAACCAGCGGCCACTCGCTGGGCAGCGGAATAGCCGCGCTGCTCACCCTTCTCCTCGCTAGCTCGCTGGATCGAGTTGGAGATCTGCCACCTGGAAAGCTCCACTGCCTAGCCTTCGCACCGCCAAGGGTCGTGTCTCTGAACCTGGCTGTCAAATACTCGGACTTCATCACCTCCGTTGTGCTTCAGGTAAGATAAGAAGAATTGCATCGGAAACTAGTAAATTCTTCCCCTCTCGTGCAAGGTGCTGTGTGAAGGGAGCGCTCTTACCTCGTCACTGCAGGACGATTTCCTTCCGCGGACAGCATTGCCTCTTCAGCTCATTTTCGGGGCCGCATTATGGTAAAGTCTTTGTAAGTCTCCTGTAAAACTTGCCCCTTCTGGTTCAAGGGACTCACGGCAGCTGTGCTGTGTGCAGCTTGCCGTGTCTCCTGGCGTTCTCATGTATGAAGGACACGCTTGTCCCATCCTGGGTGCTTTATCAGAATCCTGGACGCCTGTACATACCAGGGAGGGTCCTTCATATAGTCTACACTAAATTCTGCAGGTTGGGTTTATAAAAGCTTTTGTGTGTGTATTTTTGCATTCTTATGGGTGTTTGGAAAGCTGCATCAATGCCTGCAGTTGCGCTTCCCTCCCCCCAGTTGTGAAGGAGGCAGTTCCCAGGGAAGAGAGGTTTGAGCATCTCGTGTGCTCTATGAACGCTCTTCAAGACCATTCCTTGGTTCGTCTTCGAGCCAAGGCGCAAGGTGCCGTTACGGTAAGAAATCATATTTTGTGTCTGTCTACCAACCTCCTTTTTTTTGTGAATACTGCTCATGAATTTGTAACTTGCAGAGACTATCAGAGCCGAATTGTGCCACCATGGCACCAGCTGAACAAGTAATGGAGTGATGGGGGTCTTAGCCTGTCTTGCCATGAGCATCTATGGCTTGATTCATGACCAAGTAATCAGCTATAGCCCTGACCATCAGTTGCCAGCTCGGAGTGGTTGACAGACAGCTGGAGTCATCACGCACAATGTATTTCTAACGTAATTCTGTTATAATTTTTAGATATCATATTGTCATTCACTTGAAAACGAGTGCCTTCATAAGGGCCATACCGAATGATTGTCTGCTTTCGTAGGAGCTGAGTTACAGAATACCATTCCATTTCGCTATCACAGTCTTTGCGGGCACGTCTCCCTTGTCCTGACCAATCTCCCACGGAAGCGGAACCGCCAGTTCAAATCAGCTCATGTTTGTGGCCACGTCAAGCCTTCCCTGACCATACCCTTTGGCTCGTCATTCCCATACCACGGCACATGCTTGGTTCAGTTCCCTCAACATTTGCTTTCTTCCCGCTTCCGCGGGCCTTGAACCAGGCGCGCTTTGTCAGACCTGCCTCGAACTCCGAACGTACATCAGAGGCTCGATACAAATACGGGAGATCTCAACCGTCCATTATGATCACAAGCTGTTTCCCACGACCTTGAGGCAGCTCAATGAGATTTGTTTGGCTTCCCTTGGGCTTGTCGACTGCTGGAGCTTGTGAGGGGAAACGAGAAATGACTGCTTGGGAACTGGTTCAGGCATCATATGGAGGTAGTGTTCTCGTTGTTGCCGCATTAGCCATACGCTCAGCACACGCACAAGGCTCATTGCACAGCAGACGTGCCGCGTACTTGCTGCTATTGTTTGCTGTTTTTGGGTCGACACGAGTAACACTAATTCAGATCAGCGATGTGGCTTTAGAATAATAGTATTCGTCTTTTGGAATGGGTAGCTGTCAGGAATGCTGAACTCAGAGGAGTCGTTGAATGACCATTTCCCATCAGCCAGCGAAAAGCGGCTAGCTGTTCGATTGTTAACTTTATGGAAGTAAAGGCGTCAAAGTATCGTTCTTTCAACTGCTAGGCTTACGAGGAAGATATTTTCCTTCGCCTTTCACGGTTCTAGTGCTAGGTTCGAACCCCGTACTGAGATGATGAAATCATATGGATCCCCGGCAAAGGGGAGCGGACGAGCGAGTAGGCTTCGGCTGTTTTCGTTGATCGTGATATGTCTAGGCGTGGTGACGTGGCTGCACTATGACGTGCCGGAGAAAGCGGAGACTAAGAAAGCCGATCCCAACACGATCGCCAGGATGTGCGAGGGCCGGTACATTTACATGTACGACTTGCCTGCGAGATTCAATAAGGTGAGTGACGATCAGTAAGATGCGTGACTAACGCTTAGGCGTGTAACATACGGAAGGTGTATAAACATACAGTAGATGCGTGAATAATAATGACGGGTCCAACTGTAGATATCGTCTGTAGCCATGAACTCCTGTAGACATCAAAGTGATGTCAAAAGGAAACTGCGAACCCATCGTCATCCCCTGTGACATCGCGGATTCATCTCTCAGCGTCAATAGTCAGGCTATTCTTGCCATTACGTTGCCGCTGAGAGATGAATCGGCGATTACGCTATCGCTATCGCTATCTGGAGCAACAACGTCAATCGCTCCAGATAGCGATCGCACCTCTCCAATAGTCTCCAATCATATAACCTGTGAAGATTCTCAAGTCTCAGGCGTCCAATCATGGATTCTTCCATTGGGAGTCGACTCAAAAGTAACTTAATTTGCTGCTTGCCATCTGCCATCGTCACCTGTGCTCATCGCGTGCAGGACGTGGTGGCCAAGTGCCGTGGCCGCGACGACACGGGCCAGCGGTGTGCGGAGCTGAGCTCATGGGGCATGGGCGTGCCGTACAACTCCAAGGTGCGTCCAAAAGGCTTCTAGGTCAACCTGAATCAACTCAAAAGACACAGGCGAGCGGTGTGTGGAGCTGAGCTCATGGGGCATGGGCGTGCCGTACAACTCCCAGGTGCGTCCAAAAGGCTTCTAGGTCAACCTGAGTCAACTCAAAAGACACAGGCGAGCGGTGTGCGGAGCTGAGCTCATGGGGCATGGGCGTGCTGTACAACTCCAAGGTGCTCGTACGCTCTTTCGCTCGCCCCCTCTAGCCTCTCACTTTCCCGCTTCCCTCTCCCCAAACTCCCCAACTCCCACGTAATCACAGCTGTCCAAACTCCCCATACTCCCCAACTTACTTCCTCCCAATCCCTCCCAACCCCTCCCAACCGTCTCTCAGAAGCCCGAGTACGCGGGCGTGGCGCACTGGTGGTCCACGTCGCTGTACAGCACGGAGCTGCTGCTGCACCACCGCCTGAGCAACCACCTCTGCCTCACGCCGCACGCCGCCCAGGCGCACCTCTTCTACGTCCCCTTCTACCCCGGTAGGTGCCGTTCCCCCCTGGTAAGTGCCGTCCTGTGCAGGTGCATCCTTGTAAGGGATGTGACTGTAGGCGCGTGAGGCTGTACCCTCGGATCCCTGTCTTGCGCGTTTCTGGCCGTCTTTCCCACTTGTTCGCCGCCCAACAGGTCTCCTATTACTGGTGCCTCCCGCTCGGTTGCTCTCTCCCATGTGCCTCTCTGGATGAGTTCACCCGGAACACGGGCAGGGGCTGTCTAGCGCCACTGCTCAAGCGGAATCACCTGACGTCTGCACGTACTTATCCCCCTCCCCCTCCGTCTCTCCGCAGGTCTGCATCTGGAGCACGTGCTGGGCTTCTCCAACACCACCATCGACGAGTACTATGACGACTTGGCGCGCTGGATTCGGCGGCAACCCGCTTTCAAAAGGTGCGTCTTTGGACCCTTTTAAAGACGAATCAATACGCGGCAAGCCCCACCCCTGCCAGCAGCAGCCTTCCCCCTGCTTGCGCCAGGCATGGCGTCATGATCTTCTGCCCGAAACCCTGCGCCATGCACCCTGCACCCTGCACCCTGCACCCTGCACCCTTAACCCTGCACCCTGTACCCTGCACCCTGCACCCCGAACCCGAAGCCCAAATTCCTGGCCGCTTCTCCCTGTTGCCCCATCTCCCCCTCAGGTACGGCGCCAAGGACCACTTCTTCGCACTGGGCCGCACCACGTGGCTCTTCCGCCGCTCGCTGTCGCCCGTGCTGGATGGCGCCAACCTGGAGCAGATGCCGGAGTTCATGCCCGTGAGTGCACGTGACTTGTAACCGTGGCTGGATCACTGCATGCCAGTAGTGCATTGCTCGCTGTCGCCCGTGCTGGATGGCGCCAACCTGGAGCAGATGCCAGAGTTCATGCCCGTGAGTGCGTTGCGCCTTCCATTGTTTGTAAGTAGAGCAGCACTCGCTGTCCCGCGTGCTGAATGATGCATTTCGTGCCCGTGAGTGGATATCCCTCGGTACCGGCCATCCGTCCCTCCCCTGAGCCCCCCAGGTGATGAATGTGGAGGTTGACCACTCCGCGTGGTTCAAGGCACCTGAGTGATATCCCTCGTGCCTCCCGCCCTCCCTCTTCCTTCCTCTTCCCCCATTCCCCCCTCCCTCCCTCCCCGCTCCCCCTTCTCCTCCTAGGTGATGAAGCTGGAGGTGGAGCGGTACGTGTGGTTGAGGGCACTTGAGCGATGTCCCTGCGTGCCTGCCGCCCTCCCTCCCTCTCCCTCCTTCTCTCCTCCCCCAGATGATGAAGCTGGAGGTGGAGCGGTACGCGTGGTTGAGGGCACTTGAGCGATGTCCCTGCGTGCCTGCCGCCCTCCCTCCCTCTCTCTCCTTCCCTCCTCCCCCAGATGATGAAGCTGGAGGTGGAGCGCTACCCGTGGTTGAGGGCACTTGAGCGATGTCCCTGCGTGCCTGCCGCCCTCCCTCCCTCTCTCTCCTTCCCTCCTCCCCCAGATGATGAAGCTGGAGGTGGAGCGCTACCCGTGGTTGAGGGCACTTGAGCGATGTCCCTGCGTGCCTGCCGCCCTCCCTCCCTCTCCCTCCTTCCCTCCTCCCCCAGATGATGAAGCTGGAGGTGGAACGGTACGCGTGGTTGAGGGCACTTGAGTGATGTCCCTGCGTGCCTGCCGCCCTCCCTCGCTCTCTCTCCTTCCCTCCTCCCCCAGATGATGAAGCTGGAGGTGGAGCGCTACGCGTGGGACGACCAGGACGCGTTTGGGCTGCCGTACCCCACCGACTTCCACCCCATCTCCACCAAGCAGCTGCGCAAGTGGCAGGTGAGATGGGAGGCAGATGGCAGGTGAAAGGATGGCAGGTGAGAGTAATGGGAGGTGCTGTGATGGCTGCCGTACCCCACCGACTTCCACCCCATCTCCACCAAGCAGCTGCGCAAGTGCCAGGTGGGAGCAGAGGGGGGGGGGGGTGAGAGGATGGCAGGTGAGATGAGAGGCACATGGGAGGTGAGGGCCGAGGGCGAGCGAGAGTAGTAGCGGGTATTGTTATGGTGCATGTGTGACGGCCGCCCTTTCACCCCATCTCCGCGAAGCAAGTGGCAGGTGAGAGGATGGAGTCATTAATCGGTGAGAGCAGGAGCAGGTGGTGTGATGGTGCGTCGTGCGATGGTGCGTGGTGTGATGGCTGCCTGTCCCCGCCAACTTGCACCCCATCTCCACCAAGCAGCTGTGCAAGTGGCAGATGAGAGCGATGGAGGGTGATGCGATGGCAGGTGAGAGCAAAGGGGGTGGGAGCAAGGGGGCTTGGGGCGAAAGGCAGGTGCGACATGGGATGTGATACGAGGATTTAATTTCCACCCCATCTCCACCAAGCAGCTTCGCAAGTGACAGGTGAAAGGGATTGCAGGTAGCAGGGGTGAGATGATGGCAGCTCACGGGCAGTGCGAGTAAGAGCAGGCGATGCGTTGGTGTGTGGTGTGATGACAGCCCTCGCCCACAGCCTCCCCCCCCGTCTCCTCCAATGTTTGCTTCCATTTCCACCTGTCCTGCTCCCCCCTCCCTCCCTCCCTCCCTCCCTCCCTCCCGCCCTCCCTCCCTCCCTCCCTCCCTCCCTCGCTCCCTCCCTCCCTCCCTCCCTGCACACCTTCCACAGGCCACGGTTCGCAGTGCGAAGCGGCCATACCAGTTTGCGTGCATCATCCCCCCAGACAGCAAGGAGCCCGAGGCCGCCACCAAGACGCGGCAGGCGGTGATCCAGCAGTGCCAGATGCCCTCCACCTCGTGCGCGCTGCTCAACTGCAGCAGGGGCGACTGCAGCCACGAGCAGGTCATGGGTGAGTGGCTCTTAGCCTGTTGAGAGGGGGTAGTCGAAAACGGAAATGAAGGGACACGTGTGCAGGGAGCAGCAAACGGAATGAGAGCAGGTCACGAGCCACGAGAAGGTCATGGGTGAGTGATGCTTAGCAGGATGAGAGCAGGTAGTGGCCAACAGGATTGAAGGGAGGAGTGAGGGTCTCACGGGTGGCAGCACCCACGGGCGTTGAGGCTGCTAGCCACTTTGCCTGCAGCTTGTTCTGCTCCTACTCTGCAGGCCTCTATTTTTGAGGCGCCTCAAAAATAGACTCCTCACGCTTGAGGCTGCTAGCCACTTTGCCTCCAGCTTGTTCTGTTCACGCTGGAGACTCTGCAGGCCTCTGCCTGAGAAGGAGGGTAGGAACAGAAGAAGCTGCAGGCAGGGCAGGGCAGAGAAGAAGGGGGCCCTTCTTAGGTGACTTTTGAGTCGACTCAAAAGTCACCTGAGAAGAAGAGTAGGAACAGAAGAAGCTGCAGGCAGGGCAGGGCAGAGAAGAAAGGGGCCCCTTCTTCTCTGTGTCCACGCCTCTGCCTGTCAGCCCAGTACGCCATGCAGGACGGCAGCAGCTGCGGCCTGCGCTACCCCAATGGTCCTTCCTCTGCCCCTCGTGCTTCCTCTCCCCCCTGCCCTGCCCTCTTCTGTCCAGACCTCTACCTGTCAGCGCAGTACGCGGTGCAGGACGGAAGCAACTACGGCCTGCGTTACCACATGGACTCCCAGCTGGCATCTTGAGCAGCCCCCCACTTCCCTGCCCCCTTCCCTGCCCCCTGCCCTGCCCCCTTCTGTCCAGACCTGTATCTGTCAGCGCAGTACGCGGTGCAGGACGGCAGCAATTATGGGCTGCGCTACCTCATGGACTCGTTGGTGGCGGGCGCCGTGCCCGTGGTGCTGTGGAACCGCACCTACGCGCTCTACGGGCAGCACTTCCCCTGTAAGCTGCTTCTTCTCCGAGCCCCCTTGTGTGCGCTCCATGGATTGCCTTAGGAGTCTATTTTTTAGGCGCCTCAAAAATGCGCTCCATGCCTCGCCCACTTCTCACTCTCCCTGGTGGCGGGCTCCATGCCCATGGTGCTTCGGAACCGCACCTCCGCCCTCTACAGCCAACACACTTCCCCTGTAAGCTGCTTCTCACCTCCTCGCACGGTGCAAGTCTTGCTACCATAGGGTTCCCGTGCGCCTCCACCACACACCTCTGCCTGCATCACATGTCAGAGGCCCTGTAAAGAACTGCAAGGGGATCCTTCTATCTTCGTCCCCCATGCTTCGTCCCCCATGCCCTCCAGCCATCCCCCTCTCCTTCTCCGTGTGCTTGCCGTGAGAGCAGCATAACCATTCTACCCTCATCCCTCTACTCCCACCAGCCAACCACGGCTCGTTGTCTGTCTACCCGGCCTACATCGACGTGCTTGAATGAACCACAGGGCCCTTCATGCTCTCTCGTATGTCTGCTGATGCCACTTTTGCCCCCCTTTCCCCGCCCACCAGCCAACCCCGACTCGTTCTCCGTGTACCTACCGTACATCGACGTGCCCGAGTGGACCTCAGTGGAGCACCGCCTCTCCAAAGTCGCCCCCGCCCGCTACCGTGCGCTGCAGCTGCAGGTGAGCCACAAATTGGGTGAGGCTACATCCCATGGCACGCTGCAGCCTGCAGCTGCGGGTGAACTTTCAATCAATCCATGGTGCTCGTTTAGCGCACTGCTGTTGCCGGTACGGCTGCTACCACTCGCTGGTGGGAGTCGCTTTGGCCACTATTGTCAGGACTCTATCCTCACCTTGTAAGCTTTCTGAGCGTGCTCCAATGTCTGCCACTCCATCCTCAATCGATTGGCCACCCTCCCTCACCATCCCCAATGTGCTATTGCCACACAAGGGCTTCCACTACCCCCTCAACCAACATCCCCCCCCTCTCCCAGGTGATCCACATGATCCCCTCCCTCGTCTACGTGGACCCCTCCCATGTCCTCTCCAATGTGCGAGACGCCATCGACATCGCCATCGACCACATGGTCGGCCTCTGGCGCGACCGCAAGGCGAAGCACGAGTATCCCGTACCTTCCACGACTTCCGAGCCTGGAGGCGCTGGCTCGGGGACTTTGGAGGCGGAGCATGGGAAGCGAGTGATGGATGCGACATTGGGTGAATTGAGTGGGGGTGGTGAAATTGCTCATCAAGAGGCGGAAGAGGGCAACAATGCTGGGAGTGAAGGTGGTTTATGAGAAGTTAGGGTTGAGGGTGTGCAGCTTGTTCGTCAGCAATTAGATCATACGTATTGATCGTCTATGATTCGTTTTTAGCTTCTGACGTGTTGATCCAGGAGTCCTTTGGGGCCTAGCACCTCATAGCATAGGGTGTGTTTGTCAGGCTTACACCCCCCTTTGTCTGAATGTGTAGCCCTTCAGCTGCTAGTAGTATTTTATTTATTCGTGTTACCTTATGGTGCGGCCCTTACCACTACGCACAGCCACACAACTTGTGGTTGTAATGCCTGCAACCCACAGTGGCAGGAAATCTCCATGGCAATCTCTAGGTCACCGTGACGCGTCACTCAACCCCTCACACCATTTCTGCTTGGGATTCCCCAACCAAAGGCTTCACCGCACGAGTTGCACTGCCATTTCTGCTTGCAGCCTCGCAAGTTTCCTGTGCCTGGCTCTATCAGCAGCAGCGTCGTCGTGCTGCTCCGCGGCAGGAGCTCAGATGAATTCCGCCGTGTTGCCATCGTCGCAGCCCATCGCACCCTCGTCGCAGCCCGTCGCACAGTCGCCCATGCACCGCCTCGGTAGCGTCCTTCGATCGGTCCGGTCCGCGCGACCAATCACAGCGTTCCATGGCATGTCGTCCTTGCGAGACGGTCCCCGTGCGAATTCCGTCCCCGCTACAAGGGGACTCGCGTTGCCTCTATCGAGAGGCGATATTTCGTCAGCTGCTCCTGGTTCCGTTTCAGATGCCTTTGCAGCATCTAAGGCCTTACCAGGCATCAACGGTTCTTACCTTTCCTCGCGACCCATAGCTTTTTTAAGTACTGGGAGCCTTAGTGGGAGTCTAAGCGCCTTAACTTCGTCACCGTCTGCGGCTAGAAACGCGCTACGAGCAGGCCGGGGTGAGCTCGTTAGGGTGTTCGCGTCGGCGAGCGGTGCGGCGGGGAGCGGAAGCAATGATGGCGCGGGGGAGGCAAGCGCCGCGCGGGGAAGCAGTGGCGGAGGCGGGGAAGATGCGGGGAGGGAGGCGCGCGGCGAGGGGGTTAGTGTTGGAAGCAACGACGCCGGAGGCGCTGGTGACGCGGGCGGCGCGAGCGACGTGGATTTCATGGCGGCTGTGATCATAGACGAGGGGCTGGCGGCGGAGGTGGCGGCACGAGGGCAGGCGGATCAGTGGAAGGTGAGGAGATCAAGTGCCTGTTTGGAGCATTGTAGGAACTGCGCTTGAACGCTGTCTCTGGCGACGAGGGGGGCTTGAGAAGCATCAGTCTCTCTCTCCCCCTCCCCCCTGCTCTTCCCCCCCCTCCGCCAGGCCTTGGCGGAGGAGCTGCGCCTGGATGCAGCATCCGCGCTGGCGGAGGCCATGGAGGAGTTTGAGGAGGTGCAGAGCGGTGCCGGGGTGGCGGCAGCAGAGATGTCAGTGCTGCTGTGCACGGACGCTTATATCAGGCAGCTCAATAGCGAGTGGCGGGGTGTAGATGCTCCAACTGACGTCCTCTCCTTCCCTCAAGACCAACCTGCTGGGCTCAACCCTCTGGTAACCCATTACAGCTCGCTTTGCTTCGTCTGTTCCCATGCTTGCAGCCACTTGTTGCCTCTGCTTTTGCTTGTTTATTCCGTTGTTTCCTTCCGCCCTCACCCACTCCACCACCGGTCGACCGGTGGACACCAGTTCGTCACTTGTTCCTGGTTGCCGTCTCCTCTTCCCCCTCCCCCCCCCCCCCCCCCCCCCGCACTGGCTGCTGTGCTCCAGTTGCTTCTAGGCGATGTGATTATATCGGTGGAGACGGCACAGCGCCAAGCCAGTGAGCGAGGGCACTCGCTCCTGGACGAGCTTCGCATTCTCATGGTAACATGCGTGTGGTAACATTTTCATAGTAAATGCTTGATAGTAGAAATTCCATTTGCAAGAATTTATTTATCACGAGCAACTTCACTATTGCCATCAGCCAACTTCTCAACATCAATTCTTAAACAGCATCAGGTGCATAGCATGCTGCATCAGGTGCATGGCATGCTGCATCAGGTGCATGGCATGCTGCATCAGGTGCATGGCATGCTGCATCAGGTGCATAGCATGCTGCATCAGGTGCATAGCATGCTGCATCAGGTGCACAGCATGCTGCATCAGGTGCACAGCATGCTGCATCTTTTGATGTCTGGCCGCTGTTCCCTTGTGCTGCTCCCCTCCCCTCTCCTCCCCCTCTCCTCCCCCTCTCCTCCCCCTCTCCTCCCCCTCTCCTCCCCCTCTCCTCCCCCTCCCCTCCCCCTCTCCTCCCCCTTTCCTCCCCCTCTCCTCCCCCTCCCCGCGTCTCAACTGTTAATGGAATCCACACCCTGAACCGCACTACGACCCTAGGTGCACGGCATGCTGCATCTGCTGGGGTATGACCACGAGGCGCCCAAGGGAGCAGGCCCAGATGCTGACTCAGCGATGTCAGGCGCTGAGCTGGCGGCGGCGGTGCGTGAGTCAGCAGAACAGATGGCAGCAGAGGAGCAGCGCATTCTGGCGGCCTTCGGATGGCGCGGGACGGGGCTGGTGGCGGCGGCTTTGGAGGGGGGAGGGGGAGAGGAGGGAGGAAGGAGAGGAGGGGGAGAGGGAGGAGAGGAGGGACGAGGAGAGGGAGGAGGGGAGGAAGGAGGAGAGGGAGGAAGGGAGGGAGGAGGGGAGGAGGGAGAGAAGGGGGTTGTGAGGGGAAGGATGACAAGGATTAGCTCAGTGCAAGGTGGGTGGAGAACGGAAAGCAAGAGAGTGTTTGGGGCGAGAGAGGTGTGAGTGAGGGTGGATGAGAGACACGACATGCAAGGTGTGTGGGCTGCCCAATGCTTCCAAATAGCTCACTGCGTTCTTGTCTCGCTCCTTGTGTGTTCCGTGCAGGGTGGGCTAGATTTGTGACAATAACGGACGAAGGGATAGAGGGTGAGGAGAGCAAGAAGGGAGGAGAGGGGAAGCGCAAGGGCAAGCACAAGGAGAAGCATGGGAAGGAGGAGAAGGGGAAGGGGAAGGGGAAGAAGGCTGGGAAGGCGCTTGATGTAGAGGCGGAGAAGGAGAGGGCGCACAAGAAACACAAGGAGAAGGAAAAGGAGAAGGAGAAGGAGAAGCGAGAGAAGAGGCGGACGAAGAAGGCTCCATTCCAGCTGCTGCTGTGCGACATGGATGGTATGTGGCGGATGGTCGCTGCTGGGATGATATGGGATGGATGGCCAGTGACAGGTGGTGGGTTTCCGGTCGACAGCAGGGGCGCGGAGAGCAGAGGGGCGTGCTTCTTTCCCTGCTGGCTTACGCCAGCTATGATTGTATTCCTTCCTCAGCAGGGTGATGTTGTATTCCGCACCTTGATTGATGAGGGAGAATGGATGAGTGTTCAGCAAGGTGCGCTGTTCTCCTCGTCCATTCTCCCTCAGCATGACACGCACCCTGCTGAACAGCGCCAGCAAGGTGTCCCCATCCACAGCGTAAGGTGTGTTCTGCGAGCGATGCATGCAAGGGGCATGCCTTGATCCGCTCGTCTGTATGCTCCGTGGCCTCCCGTGCTGCAGGCACCCTCCTCAACAGCGCCAACAAGATCTCCCTGTCGACAGCGGAGGTGCTGCGAGCAGCGCGTGGGGGGGCGTGCGTTGATTCACTCTCCTCGTCCTTCTGCCCGCATGTCTTCCAGGCACCCTCCTCAACAGCGCCAGCAAGGTCTCCCCTTCCACTGCGGACGCCCTGCGAGCAGCGCATGCGAGGGGCGTGCGCGTGGCCATAGCCACAGGCAAGGCACGGCCGGCTGCCATGTCTGCCCTCGGTGCTGCTGGGCTGGTTGGGTCTGCTGGAATTTTTAGCGACAAGTCACCAGGGGTGTTCCTGCAGGTATGGTGCCTCTCGAGGAGTAGCTCAAGGTATGCATGAGTTGACCTAGGGTACACCATACTCCTGAGGTAGGCACGGGCAAGGTGAGACCAGCTGCCATGTCCGCTCCGGGCGGTGCAAGGCTCGTGGGGCGGGCTGGGATGCTGTGCAGAGACACACAAGGCCATGCCTTCTTGGTAACTTGTCTTCCTCTTACTCCCGCCCATAACCGTTCTCTGCATGTGCATGCATGTGTCCAATCAACCCCCCAGGGACTAAGGGTGTACAGCTAGGTGCCACGGTCAACCCCTTCTTCTCATCCTCTGCCATTCCATGATTCCATCTCCCAGTGCCGGAGGGTGTACGGCGAGGGAGGCAAGGTGGAGCCCGGGTCTCTCTCGTTTTCTCTTATTTCTCACCTTATCGATAATGCTCTGCCTGTGCGTGAATCCCCCCCCCAGGGCCTGAGGGTGTACGGCAAGGGAGGCCACGTGGTGCACAACGCGCTGCTGCCCAACGAGGTCACTCAGGAGGTGAGTGCCTTGCCCGCCTTGTCTGGGGATATGCGCATCCATGTGAGAATGTGCCGCAAGGGAGGCCACTTGGTGCACTGCACAGTTCTCTGCTGCCTGACGATGCCACTTCAAAGGCCAGCTTCGTGCCCCCCATGTCCGTGTGTGCATGCATGTCCCCATGAGTGTGTCCAAGCATGTCCCCATAAATGTTTCAAAGCATGTCCCCATGAGTGTGTGCATGCATGTCCCCATGAATTTGTGCATGCATGTCCCTGAGAATGTGTGCATGCATCAGGGCTTTTTTTTTACAGGTAATTACCCGGATTTTGACCAAATAACGGGTGAGTTTTTGACCAAAATCGGATTGCGACGTGTTGGATTTTCATGAACCCTGATTTGACGGGTACAGTTTGACCAGAACACGTGAAGTAACGTGTTCGGTTTTGAGAAACACGGATACTAAAACTTCTCACACCACCCCATAGATCCCCCTGCCATTCCCTCCCCCCAGGGCACATCAGCCCTAGCAAGGAAGTTCAAGAAGTAGAAGTATAAGAGCTGAGCGCAGTACTCTTACGTGGCTCCCTTTGTAGAATCCAAAAACTTTTCGTAAGAGCGTTTGTCATCACAGAAAAAATTCCGGGACTGAACCCGGACATTGACGGGTAACGTTTCAGATAAACCCGTTTTTATCCGGGTCCCGTGAGAGAGATACCCGGATCTGCCGTGTGGACGAAAACCCTAAGGTAAGCCCTGGCATGCATGTCCCCGAGAATGTGTGCATGCATGTCCCTATGAGTGTGTGCTCCTGCATATGCGCACGTGCACTCACCCGTCTCCCCGCTCCTTTCTGTGCGCTCCTCCGCCCTGCAGGGCTTTGAGTTCGCCCTCAAGCACGGCAAGGCCCTCATTGGCTTTTGTGGGGACCGCTGCGTGACGCTTGTCGATCACCCATTGGTGGAGGCGCTGCACACCATCTACTACGAGCCACGGGTATGCTTCCACGGCAGCTGCGCTGCCATTCCCTGTACTTCGAACCTCGGGTGCAGTGCAGGTGCACTGAACCTATGCTTGTTGCCTCGCTGACATGGCATGTTCTATGTGACCCCCTGTCATTTTCCCTACGTGCTCATGTTCTCCAAATTTTCTCCTTGTGCTCTCTCTGATGCCTGTGTATGTGTGCGAGTGGGTGTGTGCAGGCGGAAGTGATGCCGAGTGTGCATGACATCATGAGGGATACTCCCATTCAGGTATGCTTAGTGGGGCGTGAAGTGGGAGGCTTCTGAATCACCTATGAACTATTTGCTGAGGCTCTACTTTCATGCAGCTAGCTGTGCTGCTGCTGCGCTCCTCTCCCCCTTCCCACCCTCACCTGATTCTCTCTCCCCCACCACCGCCCCCAAGCAGAAGCTACTGTTCTATGACACGCCCCATGGCATTGACGGCTTCATTCGTCCCTTCTGGTCGGCCGCTACAGCCGGCCGTGCCACAGTGACCCAGGCCGTGCCAGACATGTTGGAGATCCTGCCACCCGGGCAGTCCAAGGGCGCGGGTGTGAGGGTGCTGCTGGACCATCTCGAGCTCTCTGCTGAGGAGGTCAGTGCCACACTCCTTGATGGCGTAACATTATCACCATTGCACACAAACACACACACATCACAACTCGCACATAGGCAAGCACATGCAGCGGCCGAGCTTTTTTACAATCCTTGTTATCTGCTGGCCAAGCCTATGCTTCAACCATGGTGTCGTTCTATGCATTGGTTGCAGGTTATGGCGATTGGGGATGGTGAAAACGATCTTGAGATGATCGAGATGGTGGGTTGGGGAGTGGCCATGGAAAATGGTTCTCCAAAGACCAAGGCCGTTGCGAAGGCCACGGTTGCAAGCAATGACGATGACGGTATTGCAGAAGCTATTTCACGATTCATTCTGTAAAGTAACGCTCATGTAATGTTTTATGAAAACATGAAATTGATCCTTCTCTGGTGTATTAATTCCGATTTTCCGAAATGAGCATCGATTCTGACGAGAAGCTAATGGCGCGAATCTGACCTCTGACAAGGAATTCCATAGCTGCACTGTCTGCAGCCGCTTGCGATCGGCTGTTCAAACGGCGATCGTCAACTAGCTTTCGCCCACCTCGATTTCTTCGGTCACATCCATTTCTTTAGCTGCCAGCAAATCGCATTGTGCAGGCTCTATCTGTTCAAGTCGCATTCCGAAGGGCCATCAATAGCTTTTCTAGATTCTAGATTTGCGTCCAGCGGTCCGGGCATGCGAAGCGATTAGCCATAATTCCTCACAGGATCGATCGAAGACTTGCCTAACTAATGGGCCGTGTTAGGGCTGACTCCTCCTAACCTGTACGATCACCCTGCGATACAGTCACCATGGACACCTCTGCTGCCACGGGTCCTGCGCAGTTAGCTCTCCCCACCACGCCAGAATCCGGCCTCCGCGTTTCGCGGAGCGCGGGGAACATGCAGGAGTCGGCGAATGGGTCGAGCGCGGCGTCGACGCCACGCAGCCACAAGGAGATGGAGGCGCTCGCGTACTCGTCCGGCCAGAGCCTCGCGTCCGTTCTTAACGACCCGCGCATGGGCAAAGCTGGGATTTACGGAACCGAGAACGCGTGGACGTGGATTACTGCGCAGCGGCCGTTAGAGCCGGCTCTAGAGGGTCCTCCGCCTTTGCCGCCGGAAATTCAGGATTTTCCGAAGTCGGAGTTTCAGCCGTATCTGCAGCGGATGAGGGAGCCGTATGGCCGATTCGTGGACGTGCAGGAGCATTCCACGTGGGAGATGGCCACTGGAGAGGCTCCGGGTGCTGACGTGGACAGCGAGGGAAGGGATGATCGGAAAGGCAAGGGTATTCTAGCGTCGATGTCCGAAGGTCAGGGGCTAGCCGCGTGTCTGAGGGAAATACCCCCGGTTTATTTCGACGAGCATTTTGCTCTCGAGCGGAAGGAGATTTTCGATACGGTCTGCCCGTCCCCTTCCATTCCCGCGAACATGCTTCTTCAGGAAAAGTTGTCCCATTACTTAGACCTGGTAGAGGTGCACTTAGTTAAAGAAATCTCTTCCCGCTCGGATTCGTTCTTCGAGGCCCTGGAAAAGCTGGAAGATCTGAACCGTGGGATCGTGGAGACGTGCGATCGCATCCGTCTGTTGCGCGGCACGGTGGGGAAGCTGGACGAGGATCTGCTGGAAGGAGCGCGGAAGCTGCAGACGACCAAGGTTCGGCGCGAGAACCTTTTGCAGCTGCACCAGAAGCTGAAGCTGGTGGCATTCGTGCACCAGGCCATGGCGACGCTAAAGCTGGTGAGAACTGACAATGAGACGTTTCAAAAGGCTTCAGCTTGTGGCATTCGTGCAGCAGGCCATGGCAACGCTAAGGCTGGTGAGGGGCTCGCTTGAGGCAGCGCTGAAAGGTCCCTCGAAAGCCGCTCAGGTCTACTGATCCTCGGTACGTATCAGGCGGCTACTGGGCTGGCTGAAAGTTCACCTGAGGGCTGAAAAGTCACCTGAGGGCTGAAAAGTCACCTGAGGGCTGTGCATTTATCAGCGGGTAACGGGGGAGAGGGAACGAGGAGGAAGAGGGGTCAGAGAAGGTGGAGGGGAGAGAGGGGAGGTTGAAGTGGAGGGGGAGGAGGGAAAGGGAGTGTGGACCCACCAACATACGCCGAGCGTACATTCTGCTCTGGGCCCCTTCCCCCCCCGTCTCCCCCACCCCCTCACTTTCCCCCTTCTGCCCGTGTGCTGTTTTTGAGGCGCCTAAAATATATACCCCAAGCGTACATTCTGCTCGGGGCCCCTTCCCCCCGCGTCTCCCCCCCTCCTCACTTTCCCCCTTCTGCCCGTGTGCTGTCCATCAGCTGGTGTCCTCGGGCGCCTGTTTCGGGCGCTTTTCCCCCGTGTTCACTCGCCAGTGCGACCCTCCCGTCCCTTCCGTTCCGCCCAATACCCCCTCTGTCCATCAGCTGGTGTCATCGGGCGACTGCGCGGGCGCGCTGGACGTGATAGACGACTTGAGGCGGCTGATGAGCGGCGGGGACCTGGCGGGGCTGCACTGCTTCCGCCAGCTCAACGACCACCTGCTCTCCTCGTCGGATGCTGTCAACAGGTCAGGCCTGCACCGCCCTCTCCACCCTCTTTGCTCTGTCTCTCATTGCACCAGCCCCTTGTTTCTGCTCCCTTTGACATACTCGCTCTCTCTCACTGCCATCACACACCATCCTTCCAGTGCTGCTTGTCTGCGCCCCACCCCTCCCTGTCCTTCACCCCTTTTCTTTCCCTCGACTGCCCCTAACCTCTCTCAAGCCGCGCATCTCATCCTTTGGATTCTCACTCCGTTCTCTCTGGGCCCACCTTCCTCCTCCCCCCACCCCCCCCCCCCCTCCTTACCCCAATCTCCTGTCGGCTGCGTGGGAAGCTGTGCTCGATGCTGCTGACGTGGCCCCTCGTCACCTCTCCTCCCCCCTTGTGCTGCTGCCTTCCCCTCTCCTCACCCGCCTTCTGCAGAGGCAGCTGTCAGAGTCAGCTGTCAGCTGACTCTGCAGTAGGCAGGCCATGACGTTGCTGATGTTCCCCCTCACCCCCTCTCTTGCTGATGTTCCTCCTCACCCCCTCTCGTGCCCCTCGCACTGCAGGCCATGACGTGCCCCTCACCCCCTCTCGTGCCCCTCGCACTGCTGCCCTCATGCACCCCCCAAACCCCCCAACCCCCTCCCCCCCTTCCCTCCTCCCCCGCCCTCTCCTCTCCCCCAGTCTCCTGTCGGCTGACTTTGTGCGGGAAGCAGTGCACGACGCTGCTGACGTGGCGCCATCCGCTGTAGTCACGAGCTTCAACCTCCAGAAGAGTGTGCCGCCCGCTACAACCCTGCTCACTATAGTCAACCTCGAGGTGCGAATGCACAGACCAGACTAGACACGTTTTTCCCTGAGTAGCAGTCGGCCTGGGTCTGCTGCTGCTCCCGCCTGTGCGTGCTCTGGACGCACCACACTTGCTGCGTTGCGAATCATCCAAGCTTTGCTGCCTTGAGTTCGCCTACCCCCTCCAAGCATCCCTTCTCCGCCCCCTGTCACATGTTTCACGCGGCCTCTCTGTTGCCCTGCTGCCCTGTTGCCCTGTTGCCCTGTTGCCCTGCTGCCCTGTTGCCCTGTTGCCCTGTTGCCCTGTTGCCCTGTTGCCCTGTTGCCCTGTTGCCCTGCTGCCCTGTTGCCCTGTTGCCCTGTTGCCCTGCTGCCCTGTTGCCCTGTTGCCCTGTTGCCCTGTTGCCCTGCTGCCCTGTTGCCCTGTTGCCCTGTTGCCCTGCTGCCCTGTTGCCCTGTTGCCCTGTTGCCCTGTTGCCCTGCTGCCCTGTTGCCCTGTTGCCCTGTTGCCCTGTTGCCCTGCTGCCCTGTTGCCCTGTTGCCCTGTTGCCCTGCTGCCCTGTTGCCCTGTTGCCCTGCTGCCCTGTTGCCCTGCTGCCCTGTTGCCCTGTTGCCCTGTTGCCCTGCTGCCCTGTTGCCCTGTTGCCCTGTTGCCCTGTTGCCCTGCTGCCCTGTTGCCCTGTTGCCCTGTTGCCCTGCTGCCCTGTTGCCCTGTTGCCCTGTTGCCCTGCTGCCCTGCTGCCCTGTTGCCCTGCTGCCCTGTTGCCCTGCTGCCCTGCTGCCCCGTTGCTGCATGGGCTCTCTCTGGCTCCCTGTGCCCTCGTGCCTCCCGTCCGTCCATGCAGCACGAGGGCATGGAGGAGAGGGAGGCTCGCCTGCGAGAGCACCTGCTGCCGCTCGTCATCAGCCTGCTGCGCACCGTAAGGGCCTCTCCCTCATCCCATCGCCTATCTCCACGCATCTGTTGCACTCACCCCCCTATCCGCACTCTTGATATCTCCATCCCCTTTCCCCCCCCATCTTCTCCTCCACCCAATAATCCTTCTCCCCCTCCCCCAGTCCCGTCTGCCTGCAGTGCTGCGTGCATACAGGGATGCAGTGAATGTGGACATCAAGGCGGGAATTCAAGTTCGTCCGCTCATTGCACCCTCCTACACCACCCCCCCTCTCCCCCTCCCCCGACTTCCCCTCCCCCAGTCCCGTCTGCCTGCAGTGCTGCGCGCATACAGGGATGCAGTGAATGTGGACATCAAGGCGGCGGTGAAGACAGTGGTGGGCGAGCTGCTGCCGCTGCTCTTCCTGCAGCACGCTGCCGCTGCTGCCGCAGCTGCTGCTGGAGGAGCCGGGGGGGCCGCAGGAGGGGAGGGGGGCGAGCCCACTGCAGACGCGCTGAATGGTGAGAAACTGGGAGTGAATTTGAGAAAAGGGTGCAGTGAGAGAAGATGAGAAAAGGGTGTTTTCGAGAATTCTCAAAAACACCCTGAGAGAAGATGAGAAAAGGGTGCAGTGAGAGAAGATGAGAAAAGGTGTGTGAGTGAATGTCGCAGGGAGGGAGTGGAGTGTACTGAAGCCATGGTGCCCGTCCCCCCTATCGTCCCTTCCCCAATTCTACTTTGCACCATCCTTATCTGTGTGCTTACCCTGCACTGCCCCACCCACCCCACACTTGCCCACCCATCCCATACCCAGCGCCATCTCTGGCTCTCAAGCTACGCGCACTAGCCCCCCCCGCCTTCGTGCACCTGCTGCTGGCCGTCTTCTCAGCCGTTCAGACCCGCCTCGTGCGCGCAGCAGCCGTGCGCAACGTGGTTCACAGCATCGCCACCACCGGCGCTGCTGCTGCTGCCGCTGCCGCCGAACCTGCCACCCTCGCAGGCTCAGCAGGGTACGAAGCTGCTGCTGTGGCTGCAGCGTTTGCTTCGGGTGCCGAACGTGTGGTAGCTGCCGAGGCTGCTGAGTCGAAGCTGCTGGGGAGGGGGGGCGTGACGAGAGGTGCGGGAGGGGGGGGAGGGGCAGGAGGTGGTGGGGTGGCAGGCAGCGGGGAGGCAGCAGCAGGGGGTGATGTGAATAGCCTGGCTGCTCTGGCCACGTCCAAGCAACTAAGGTGTGCCTCGTCTTCTCCCCCACACGCTCTCACCTGCACCCTCTCTCCCTTCCATTGCTCTTCCCCAACATGCCTTTTCTTCCTATCCCTCCAATCAACCACCCTTCCTCCACATGCCTCCCAGAGCCGACGTTCTGAGGGAAAACACGGAAGTAGTGAGCGATGCGTGCGAGGTGGCGCACGGGCGGTGGGCGAAGCTGCTGGGGGTGAGGGCGCAGGTGCACCCGAAGCTGCCTCTGAGCGACTTTGTGGACATGTACTCCGTGACCTCGCACTTCATCTCGTCGTCAGAGCGGGTGAGCAGTGAGTGGTACAGGGGTACGGCGATAGACGTTTCTGATGGCATGGAATGGCATGGCAGGGCATGGCAGGGCATGGCAGGGCATGGCAGGGCTCTGTCGCCCTGCTGAACGCTGTCCCCTTCATCATCCCGCCTGCCCCTCTCTCCCAACGCCCTGTGCTCCACGTGAGTGGCAGGCTGGGCTACAACAGCACACGAGACCCAGCACGCCATGCCATGCCACGCCACACCTCGTGCTGTTTCCACCCTGTCATCTCCTCCTCTCCCTCCCCTCTGTGCTGCAGGTGGGCGGCAGGCTGGGCTACAGCATACGGGGCGCGCTACAGTCGCAGGCCAAGGCGTTCGTGGAGACACAGCACTCGGGCAAGGTGAGGTGGCCCTCGCGCAAGGTGAGGTGGCACTCGGTCATGGTGAGGTGGCACTCGGGCAAGGTGAGGTGGCACTCGGGCAAGGCAGGGGTTATCACATGTATGGAACAATCCTTGTGGCTCCCCCATGTCTCTCTTCTTACATCTTGACTGCCTGCTGAACTCTGCTCCCTCCGGCGTCCACCCTCCGCCAGAATTATCACCCTTACCATCACATGGCGCTCATCGTCTTGCTGCTCAATAAGGAGACGTGGACGGTTGTAGATGCGCCTGCAATGTTAAGTTCACATGCCCCTTGTGTGCCCCTTGTGTGCCCTCTCCCTTTCATGCCGCCATCACCCTCGCATCAGATGGCGCTCATCCTCTCGCTGCTGAACAAGGAGACGTGGACGGCTGTAGATGCCACGCCCGAGGCCCAAGCCCTAGTCGACTTCTTCTGCACCTTCCTCGACCCAACTGCCGAGGCCGATGCTGCTGCCGCTGCTGCTGCTAATGCTGCTGATGTGGCTGCTGCTGCTGCTGCTGCTGCTGCCGCTAGTGATGCTGCTAGTGTGAGTGAAGTCACTGCTGCTACTGCGACAACTGTAGCAGCTGCTGCGGCTGAGAGCAGGGGCACAGATGGGGGGGGTGCTCCTCCTGCTGACGCAGCAGCATTCAATGGGCCGGTGACAGGTGGCGCCGCGGCGAATAGCACGGAGACAGATGGCAGAGTGGCAGAGGCTGGGGGTGGGCGGGGGGAGAATGGGGCGAAGGAGGCGCAGGTAGGGGAGTTGAGGGATGATTGGCCCCAGCAGTCGCAGCAACAGCAGTCGCAGAATACAGGTGCAGAGGGAGAGGGCAGTGGAGCAGAGGGGCAGGGCACGGCAAGAGGGGTCGGCATGGCCGCCAGTCAGGCAGGCAGAAGAGAAGGCGGTGGGGGTGGAGAGGAGGGTGATGGAGGCGGGGAAGGGGTTGTGGGGCGAGGAGGAGCAGGAAGAGGGGAGGCGGACGGGGGAGTGGAACCAAGGAGGGAGAGGAGGGATGGAGAGGCAGAGGCATCACAGCGAACAGAGCCGGTGGCAGGTGCAGGTGGTTCAGTCGCTGCAACTGCTGCCGTGGAGCCAGCATTGGCTGCAGCAGCACCCGCAGCACCAACGGCAGCAGCAGCGCCAGCACCTGCTGCTGCCACTCCTGCTGCTGCTGCTGCTTCGCCTGTCGCTGCTGCCAGTGGAGGCGTTGAGGGCGGCAAGGCGCAGAAGAAGGCTGCTGTGAAGACGATAGTGTGCCGGGGAGTGAAGTACCACGTCACTGGCAGGTGAGGGCTTCTGGGTTGAGGGACGGGTGCTGTGAAGACAATAGGATGCCGGGGGGCGAGGTACCACATGACTGCCAGGTGGGGCACATACCTTAACTGTGCTCCTTGCCTCGTGCTGCTGTCAGTCTCAGGGGGCTGGCGGAGCAGCCTTTAACGCCTGCAGGTTCATTGTCTTTCGTTCCTGCCCCTTCCCCCCACCGCCAGCGCATGCACGCTGCTCTCAGTGACCCGAGAGTACGTGTCGATAACTGAAGCCCTGCCATCACTATCAGGCGAGGTGGTGCAGCGCCTGGCGGACCTGCTCAAGCTCTTCAACTCGCGCACCTGCCAGCTCGTGCTGGGGGCAGGCGCCATGCAGGTAAGGTTCTTTCGGTGCAGGTAAAGCATGCCGCGAGGCACATACACAAGCCACCCGGGCCGATCTGCTGAAGATCTGCAATGCACGCACGTGCCAGCTCGTGCTGGGGCTGGGTGCCATGCAGATGGGTGCTTGTCCGTGCAGGTAGCATTTGGTGCAGGAGCCATGCGCTTTGCATGTGGGGTGCGATGCAGGTGAGCACTAGGGCAGGCGCCATGTGGGCCGGGAGCATATGCAAAGGGGGGTGACGCTCTGCCAGAGCACATGCAGCCCGTCCGTCCCTGCTGCTGCTGCATGCACCCTCAGCCTCGCCCTCACTCTCACCCTAACCCTCAGCCTCACCCTCACTCTCACCCTAACCCTCATCCTCACCCTCACTCGCCCTCACCATCCCGCTTACCCTCACCGCCACTCACCCTCACCCTCACTCTCACCCTCACCCTCACCCTCACTCTCACCCTCACCCTCACCCTCACTCTCACCCTCACCCTCACCCTCACTCTCACCCTCACCCTCACCCTCACTCTCACCCTCACCCTCACCCTCACCCGCCCCCTCACCCTCACCCTCACTCTCACCCTCACCCTCACCCTCACCCGCCCCCTCACCCTCACCCTCACTCTCACCCTCACCCTCACCCTCACCCGCCCCCTCACCCTCACCCTCACCCTCACCCTCACCCTCACCCGCCCCCTCACCCTCCCTCTCACCCTCACCCTCACTTGCACCCCACTCTGGCTTTGAGCAGCCAACATTGCAATGATAACCTCACCCTGCCTCTCCCGCCTCTCCCGCCTCTCCCGCCTCTCCCCCCTCTCCCCCTCTCCCGCCTCTCCCGCCTCTCCCCCTCTCCCGCCTCTCCCCCCTCTCCTGCCTCTCCCCCTCTCCCGCCTCTCCCGCCTCTCCTGCCTCTCCCGCCTCTCCCGCCTCTCCCGCCTCTCCCCCCTCTCCCGCCTCTCCCGCCTCTCCCGCCTCTCCCGCCTCTCCCACCTCTCCCGCCTCTCCCCCTCTCCCGCCTCTCCCCCCTCTCCCGCCTCTCCCCCCTCTCCCGCCTCTCCCCCTCTCCTGCCTCTCCCCCCTCTCCCGCCTCTCCCGCCTCTCCCGCCTCTCCCGCCTCTCCCGCCTCTCCCCCTCTCCCCCCTCTCCCGCCTCCCCCGCCTCTCCCCCCTCTCCCGCCTCTCCCGCCTCTCCCGCCTCTCCCGTCTCCCGCCTCTCCCCCTCTCCCCCCTCTCCCGCCTCTCCCGCCTCTCCCCCCTCTCCCGCCTCTCCCCCTCTCCGCCTCTCCCGCCTCTCCCGCCTCTCCCGCCTCTCCCGCCTCTCCCCCTCTCCCCCTCTTCCCACTCTCCCACCTCTCCCGCCTCTCCCCCCTCTCCCGCCTCTCCTGCCTCTCCCGCCTCTCCCGCCTCTCCCCCTCTCCCCCCTCTCCCCCCTCTTCCCACTCTCCCGCCTCTCCCGCCTCTCCCCCTCTCCCGCCTCTCCCCCTCTCCCGCCTCTCCCCCTCTCCCGCCTCTCCCCCCTCTCCCGCCTCTCCCGCCTCGCCCGCCTCTCCCGCCTCTCCCCCCTCTCCTGCCTCTCCCCCCTCTCCCGCCTCTCCCGCCTCTCCTGCCTCTCCCGCCTCTCCCGCCTCTCCCGCCTCTCCCCCCTCTCCCGCCTCTCCCGCCTCTCCCGCCTCTCCCACCTCTCCCGCCTCTCCCCCCTCTCCCGCCTCTCCCGCCTCTCCCCCTCTCCCCCCTCTCCCCCCTCTTCCCACTCTCCCGCCTCTCCCGCCTCTCCCGCCTCTCCCCCTCTCCCGCCTCTCCCCCCTCTCCCGCCTCTCCCCCCTCTCCCGCCTCTCCCGCCTCGCCCGCCTCCCGCCTCTCCCGCCTCTCCCGCCTCTCCCGCCTCTCCCGCCTCTCCCGCCTCTCCCGCCTCTCCCGCCTCTCCCCCCTCTCCTGCCTCTCCCGCCTCTCCCACCTCTCCCCCCTCTCCCGCCTCTCCTGCCTCTCCCGCCTCTCCCCCCTCTCCTCCCTCTTCCCACTCTCCCGCCTCTCCCCCCTCTCCCGCCTCTCCTGCCTCTTCCGCCTCTCCCGCCTTTCCCGCCTCTCCTGCCTCTCCCGCCTCTCCCGCCTCTCCCGCCTCTCCCGCCTCTCCCCCCTCTCCCGCCTCTCCCGCCTCTCCCCCCTCTCCCCCCTCTCCCCCCTCTTCCCACTCTCCCGCCTCTCCCCCCTCTCCCGCCTCTCCCGCCTCTCCCGCCTCTCCCGCTTGTCCGCAGGTGTCGGGGCTGAAGACCATCACGGCGAAGCACCTGGCGCTCAGCAGCCAGTGCATCTCGCTCGTCTATGCACTCATTCCTGGTGAGCAACGCCCTGTGTAATCCCCCATGTGCATCGCTCCGTTTCTGTCCCCATGCACACATGTGACCCCATGAGCTCCCCATCGCCATTGTCTCGGATGCGCCATCTCTACATCATCTGTGCCCCTGCATATTCCCAATGTCCTCATCTCATCACCCGGTGCACACTTCAGTCTAGGTGCATTGCGTCCTCTCGGCCGTCATCCGTCTTGCCCCCATCGAATCCACCCTCCCATCACAACACCCCGTGCCCCCATCAGACCTGCGTCGCATCCTCTCAGCCTACATCCCCGACGCGCGACGAGGGCTCGTCATGACTCACCTGGACAGAGTGGCACAGGTACGCCGCCCATTCCATCTGCCTCTCATGTAAGCCGCCCACTCCGTCTGCCTCTTGTCACCCTGCCATGGCGCCGTGACCTTGTGCTCACCAGAGTGACGCAGGTGCTCCTTCGAAATTGTATGCCTCGGAATCACGCTGCATCCCCATCTCCATCACTGCTGGTATAACTGATCCGACCAAAGGTCACGTCGTCACTGATCCGACCAAAGGTCACGTCGTCCTGGCATGCCACACCATGAGCGCTCTCTTTCACCATCATGCACTGCCAGTGTTCATGACTCATGCGCACACTCGCATGCACCCCCATCACCATCACCATCAACATCACCATCACCACCAGGCCAAGACTACAGGGTCCACAGCGACGAGATTTAGAGCACGCTGGTGGCCATAATGCCCTGTCTCATGTGCCACTGCCATTGTCACATGCACCCCATCACCATCACCATTCACCATCAACATCACAATCACCATCACCATTCACCATCACCATTCACCATCACCGTTCACCATCACCATTCACCATCACGCCGCCACCAGGACTACAGGGTGCACAGGGACGAGATCCACAGCAAGCTGGTGGCGATCATGAGGGAGCGCCTGCTGGTGCACCTCCGCTCGCTCCCAGGTGTGGCTGACGGCTACTGCCGCCCCGACGACTCACCTGCCGAGCAGCAGCCATCCAACTTCGCACGTGCGCTCACCAAGGTGTGTCATGGGATGGCATGGTGTTGCATTGCTGCTGCTAGCTCATGCCTGTTGTGCTGTCGTTGATTCATGCTGGTAGCGATGGCATGCATGTCAGTCACATGCAGCATGTGTGCTGACACTCCCCATCTCTTGGTTTGTGATCTCCTGCCTCTGCTACTGTTTTTGTCTATCCTTCCGCGTTTCATCCCACATCTCCGCCTTCCACCTCTCCATCCCTCCTCCTGTGCCACCCTATCTAAACATGCTCGCTGCCACAACCTGCTCCTGTGCCTTGCCACCCCCCTTGTGCCTCGCAATCCCTCTTGTGCCTCTCTCCACCATCTCACCCCACCAGGAGGTGGGTGTGCTGCACCGCATCCTCTCACCGCTGCTGCTGGAGGCCGACCTCCGCTCCATCTTCTCGTGCGTATTGCATCCGTGTAGAGTCCCACTCTCGTATGGGTACTCATGGGTCTGCAGACCCATCCTCTATGCGCATTGCATCCATGTGTAGTCCGCATTCCCGTAGCTGTTCTTCAATCTTGTGCATTGGACTATCCCCCTTCTCATATGCCGTGATCCTTGGTATTCTGTGCACTTCTTTTTATGCCTGCACCTGCTACTCCATGTGCTTGTGCGTTGATTCATATGAGGTGACTTTCAGTCGACTCAAAAGTCACCTCGTTGATTCATATGGATATGTACTGTGTGACCCACGCGCCATCCTTTTGTGTACCGACCCGTTTCCCCATGGCATGGCAGGCGAGTGGTGGCGCTATTCCATGTGCAGCTCGCGGACTCGTTCTCCAAGATTGACACGCCCACACCACAGTCCAAACGCAGGTGCGGGATTAGTTCCCCCCTATGCTGTCCAAACATTTCCTGATAACTGTACCTGGCGTGCAAAGCCTCACTCCGTGTCTTCCTGCTGCTTCAACATATCTCCACCACCCTGTGCAGAATGTATCGAGACGTGGACCTCATCCTACAGTGCATGCGGTCACTGCCTGGTAACATACTAGCATCTTCGTTTGAAGGGCGGCAGAGAGAGCTGGACCAGTTTGTGGTCTCTAGATTTGGCAACAGCCCACCTCCATGAAATGTTGACCAAACTGAATATTTTTCACGATGCTTCTCATCTATGTATGTGAGATCATGCAAGCAATGATTTGGGTATTGAAAAGTGCGCCATGGAAATGGAGGGAAGGAAGATTGTATGATCGTTTTGCAAATAGTGCAAAGCATGGGAGGGAGGTAACGTTGTTAGCCTGTATAGTGTTTTTATGGGGCATCTGCAACATATATTTATTGTTGCGTGCTCCTAGCGAAGAAATGCTCATCGCGAACCGTCCCTCTGCTGTGCCCACAGGGGCCAATACTCCCGTCACAACTTGCGTGGCATCCGCGCCTCGCAACAATCCAACCAGGCCAAGCTCAAGCCACGCGAAATTGTCCATTCGTCGCACAGCTGTCGCTCAGGCGAAAGGGCCCGGACGACCTGGCAGGCAGTCTGGCGGGCAACACTGCAGCTTGCGTGCTTTGTCGCTAAGCGCGTGGTGCTTTTGGGAGGGAAGGGGAATTTCGAAAAAAGAGGTTCGGAAAACCGAATGGGTTCCAGGCTCTGCAGATGTTTCCAGAACGGTTGTGGTTGTTCAAGTGTCAGAATGTCGGCACAGCCTCGTGAACCCGAAGGGCGTGTGGTGTGGTGGAGGGTGTTGCGACCTTGCGTGTTGCATGCAATGCAAAGCCAGCACTCTGACCCTGTGGCTTGGGAGCTCAACAGGGGCATATGTTGAGAAGCGATCATATAAATGGCTACTCGAGCGCATCCATGGACCATTAGTCACATCGACTGCACATACCTCTCTCCCATCTGCCTTCTCCGCATAGCAGCGATCGGTCTCTGGCATTTCTCTGCCACTTAGCTGCCCCGTTCTCTCCAATTCAACCAACATGGCGTCGCATCGGTCGTGCTTCCTAGCCCTGCTCGTCGTCGCTCTCGTGCTCGCATCCATCCACTCCGCATCGTCCTTATCGCAAGACGTCATCAGAGGTACGCCGTGCATCATCAATTGCCACCCCTGTGAAACTCGACGCTCGGAGAAACAAGTACTAGTCCTCGAACACAATCTTACTCATCTCGTCTACGGCAATCTCGAAACGCATAGCCGCTCAAAATCCTCACCTTATTCTGCAAGGGTTCATCACGTCGTCACCTCCCTTCCCTCTCCCCCTTACTTCCTCTCTCCCGTGCCTTCCGCTTGTCGCGCGCAGGGCATTGGACACCCTCCTCAGAGGAGTGCAAGCTGGCATACACGCCTCAAGTCGAAGACACGTGCATATCCATCGTTACACGATACTTCGGTGGTAACCCGCTGTCGTTCGCCATGCACAACGGTTGGCGCACATGTCACGATATCAAGGACTTCGAGAAAATCTGCATCGCGTGGTGACGCCCAGGACCACCCGTGAGGAGGGTTGCGCATTATACCAGCTACCAGAGCCTACTAGAGCCCACTAGAGCCCACTTTACCATCTCCCAGTGACTGCATTCTTCCGCACCTACAGGAGCCTATATACCAGGACTCCCAGCCGAATAAGCCACTCGAGCAGCACCACTTGCGCTCCTCGATACAATAAACATGATTGACCTGAAAAATAATATTCTCGCTGTTGGGAATACGTAGCACGTCACGGTTTGGCGGGCTCCGATGAAGGCTACGACGAGGGCCAGGCTGTAAATGCTTTGTTGTCACGGTTATTGTTGATTTTTTTGTTCAATGAAATGCTAGTTTCCACGGTACTCTACTTGTCGGTTTTCGGGCCAAGATCCAGGAGGCACAATACCAGATTGGCATGAAATGAAGGGGCACAAAAAGCACCCTTTTTTATATAAGAGATAGAGAAAATAGTGGAATAAGGTTTGGCCAGGGATGCATTAGCGGGAAGCGAGGTTGCACCTAGAGAACATGCAAGGGGGCTCCGATTGGCCCTTCCATTCATCCCTGTGTTCCGATTGGCTGTCTTTCCAGAACACAGCTGGGAACACAGCTGGCCGACGAGCACGGCCCCCTTGAGGGTTGTTCGCCAGGCGCACGCGCGGACCAGGGGGTGCCTGGCGGCGTGCTTGGGGAAGTCGAGGGGGTCGGGATGGTTCCGCGAACTCTGGACTTTGGGGGAAGGTCTTCCAAGCAGGCCTGATTGCACAGTTTCGGCTAAGACCCCTTTACAAGCTTTCAAATTGTACTGCACCTCTCTCACTGCTCTCGTAGGAACACGATTGGGGACAACTTCGCCTATACTCAAATTATGCAAGAGCCCATTTGCACTTGTACTCAAGCCATCTCAAACGGGCTTCATTAAATCCCGCAAGATCGGCGACACAATCAACGACACGCTGGATATCATGGACTGAGCCACAACCCGCCACATCCCACTCCTCGCCATCACGGTTGACATCCGTAAAGCTTATGACATGATCGACCGACCCTTTCTCCTGGCATGTCCCGCCCATCTTGGAATCCCCCCCCCCCCCCCCCCCCTTTATTAACTGGGTTCGGCTAATGCACTCCAACACCACCACTCGCGACTCAGTCAACAACTTCGCCGGCCCCATATTCCCTATCCGCACCGGGGTGCGCCAAGGTTGCCCGCTGGCCCCCCTCCTGTTCATCTGCCCCATCGAGATCTTCCAACGATACATGTCACTCCACCTCCCCGGCTTTGCTATCTCACGACAGCAACGCAGGCTTATGGCTTACTATGCAGACGACATTACCATTTTTCTCAATTCTAATCACGAACTGCAGACGGTCACCACAGCACGCCTATCCTTCGCGACGATGTCAGGTGAATACCCTAACTGGACCAAATGATCTATCATCCCATTCAACTTCCCAACAGCCCACATAACAGCAGCCGCCTGTTAGAATGCAAGAATGGCAAGCGCCTTAGTAAAGATATCAAAGGTATACATAGTAGAGAGTACACAAACAGGGTCCTAACAAATTAGAAGCTACACGAACAAGACCAAGCTGTACACAGTGCCGCTGATGATCTTTAGGCGCAAGCGCCTTAGTAAAGATATCAGCTGTGTTGGCACCGGAGGCCAAGTGAACTACGCGGGCCTGGCGACGATGCTGTAGCTTGCGTAGGAGGAAGTACCGCAGCTGGATATGCCTCGCTCTGCCCTCAAGTCGAGGCTCCTGACAGAGGAGAATCATGGCCCTGTTGTCAGCGTACAGGACCAGGGCAGAGCTAGGCCGCTCACCTAAGTCTGTGAGCAAGAAGGTCAGCCGTCCTCCTAGAGCTGTACTACTGTGTCCCTGTGCCACTGTGTCCCAGTGCCGCTGTGTCCCTGTGGAGCTGTGCCGCTGTGTCCTTGTGTCGCTGAGGAGCTGTATCGCTGACCCTGCACGATGGCTGACTTCGTACTGCGCCTGGACGCTGAGGGCCATGCGGTTGACTTCGCCGCCTGGCTGTCCGATCTCCGCCGTCAACTCACAGGTCAACGCCAGGATGGTCACTCCTTGGTTGTTCATGCTGATGGCTTGCTCCCCCGCCCCCCTGCGCCTGCTCCCCTCCCTGCTGACCCCACCTCTGCTGAGAGTAAGGCTTTCTCTGCTGCTGCACTTGCCTGTACCGTCTGGGACTCTCGCGATGCAGTTGCTCAGGTCGCGATCAGTCATGCCCTCCCTGTGTCTAAACGTTCGCGTTTCGCTACAGTTGATACACCCAGGGCTTACTTAGATGCCGTTGTTGCTCTGATACCATGCTAGAATGCAAGAATAATTGACTAGTGTGAGAAACCTAGAACATATACCTGTTGGGATTGTACTCACTAGAAGCACACACCTAGGCTAGCCTATAACTTCTACATACAACATATATATAAGTTGACACCGACCTCATCCCTATCAAGCCCAATAATGTCGCAGAACGAATCCTAAGCATATGCATCAAGCGACGTGCACCGGGTACTACTACCAGGGATAAAACCCTCACAAGAATTCAATCAATTACCCGGCACCTTGCCCGCCTCCGTTGTACCATGACCTGCTGCAAACGACTGGCTTCGGAATATCTCAATTCGGTCCTATCCTTCCCGGGCCGCTTCCAGCCCTCCCCACCCGCCATAACATCACAGCTCACCACAGTTATCGGCAATTTCTCTCCTCCTCGCGGTTCAAGGATCACAACCTGTGTCAACTTATACATATGCTGTATGTAGAAGTTATAGGCTAGCCTAGGTGTGTGCTTCTAGTGAGTACAACCCCAACAGGTACATGTTCTAGGTTTCTCACACTAGTCAATCATTCTCTCTTTCTAACAGCCTGGCCATCAGGCTCATGCCAAACCGCCTGCTCTACAACTCCTCCAAACATGGGGGTATAGGGGCCATCCAGCCTGCTGCCCAACTAACCGCCCTCAACGCTCAACGCGCCCTCCGCCGCTTCACCCCCTCCCCTTCCGCGAATGTGGCGCATTCCTGCGCTTTGCCGCCCTATGGCCTCCATGGCTTCCTTCTACACAAGAATATCCTCACGGCCTTACACACTGACATGCCTTCCCAAGCACGCGCATAGCTTCGTGACCTCCTGGCCCTTAATCCCACGATACTTCTGCCGCGCCTAGAAACCAGCTGCCTTCTTGCAAAACCCCTCGCATTCAATCGATGCAACCTTAAACCATCTGGTCGCCCTTCTGGAATATAAAAAAACGAGCATTTCCTGCTCACTTCGGAAATCAGGCTAGGCCACGTAATCCGCCCCCTCGGCACAGGGTTCCGAAGATTCTCTGACCCGGAGACCCTGCAAGCCTTTCCCTTTGCCTGCTACCTTGATGCCCGCCGCATCATTCGCAAACTTCTCGACGCAATACTGGCCGAATGGTGGAATACACTGGCCCCTGCGAACGTTGCCACAAGCCTCCTTCAACCGGGAGACAGGGTCCTTTCCACTCTCCCCTCGGACTCCACCCACACTTTCATTTACAAAGTCACTGAAGTTCGCCCCCATTTCACCATAGCGGTCCACCCACATTCATTAACTCAGACCTCCACAACGCCTCGGAGCTAGGCGACACCTGCATCCTTCCCCACTTTGCGGTCACTGCAGTTTGCGTGAACCCTTGCTGGCTCGCCGGCCCCTTTTATGCAGCTGCAGGACTCGGGGCTCGCATAGAGCTATTACAGGATGGGGTGCCACTTTTTGCCGACCAACGTCGCCGCCACTATGTGCAACAACGGCTTACACATAGGGAGTGTTGAAACGCTGCTCTTTCAGCTTTTCCCCCCATTTTCCTCTCTGATCTGACGCATGATTCTCTCAAGGACCAAACCAGCCTCCACCATGACCTCCTCTTCAGATTCTATACCCGCTCCCTCCCATCAGGCGCTCGTTTCAACTTCGCCGCCGACAGGGGCATCTGCCAATGATGCCCCACCGGCGTGACCGATACCCTATCACACATCTTCTTCGAGTGCGACATCACGAGACCCATCACCTCTGCCCTCCAACGGGTGGCTTTCTGCCACCTCGGAGTCCGGATCTTCCCGGAACAATCCTTTTCCCCCTCCCAACCTGGGCCGAGCAGTCCGCCCCATGGAGCCTCCTAGTTGGTGCAGCTGCCAAGTCCATCTGGAACGCCCGATGTAATCACAAGTTCAACGAGATCACAACCCACCGGATTGAAGGTCTCCAAGCGGTACTCTGCGCCTTCTTGCTATCGTGCAAAATCTTCATCTGTCGCTCCACCATCCAGTCTAGAAAAAAACCACTCCGCTCCGCCCACCAACTTAAACGTGCCAAACAGTTCCGTTTCCTCCTCCTGCCGCACGAATCCTCCCCCTCACTCCACCATAATCTACGTCAGTCCTGGCTCCTCAATGACGCCTTCCACCCCCTCTAGCTCCCCCAGCCTACGCCAACAAATCAGAAAAAGAACGGATGGCACTCTCCCGCCTCTGCTATGCATTTGTTTAGAAGGATAACATGCATCCACGTGCTCCTTGTAAGGGTGATGGCTGTTAGCCATTTCCTTTTTTGCTCTGTTTGTAACAGTTACGACTAAAATATAACCTTAACCTTAACTTGTACTCAAGCCAATCAAATCGTTTGAGGGCAGCAAAAAAATATAACCCCTGAGGGAACCTGGTTGTACTTCGGGAGGCATCAACACTTAACTCATTTCGGAGAGCAGAAAGAAACCCTGTGATTGGCTTGAGTACAAATGCATACATCGCCTAGCATAATTTGAGTGTTTCAGGTAATTCCCGACGCGATTGCCAACAGCGCCCGTCACGGAAATCGTGTTGGCAATGCCCCTCACGGGCCACCTGGTAAACGCGATTCGCCAATAGCACTGCTCATAGAAAAACACTCTGAAGAGTGTGATAGCCTCTGGCGATGTCGACACATTTATTGCGGACTCGATTGGCATACACAAAAAAGGATCAAAGCCGTGGAAACCGCTCAAGCCATGAACTCCCTTCTTCCTATCCGCATTTCGCCACCCGCCAGAGTTCCTGTCATCCCTCCCGCTAGAACGAATCCACTCGTTTCAATTCCCTTTTGCGCGGAGGTTCCCAGACTTGACGCTATACATCGTCTTCGCTCGCATCCCTTTTTCATTGTGGGACATTCCCTGTCCAGCCTCATTACCTGTCCAGCTTCATTCTCTATCCACTCTCATTCTCCATTAAAGCCAGGGACCCAAGTTTCTAGAACCTGGGGCAAGTGTTTTACAGTTGGTTGGGAAAAACCAGGTTTTGTGTCGTGAGGGTGCGTGTATTGCAGCAC